TGGGACTGGGCAGGCCAGGCTGGTGGTAACCCCACCAGGGTGTGTGTGATTGCGTGTGTGTGTGTGTGTGTGTGTGTGTGCGCGCGCGCACGCATGTACACGCACACGCACGCACTTGCGCGCTCTGTGTGTGTTCCTGTGCACTTATACAAATTTGTCTCTGAGAGTGTGTGATGGGATTGGGGTTTGGTGGAGGGTGAGAATGAATGGATGGGGAGCTAAATGAATGGATGGTGGTGGGAAGAAACACACCCAAACTCCACACAATGTCCAGTCTGCTGGGGCTGGAAGGGGTTGGGCCACCCTGACTTCTGGACAGAGTCCTGCTTTTTCTGCGCCATTCCTAATTTTGGTTCTTCCCAAGGCACACAGTGGGAGGAGGAGAATACCAGCAGAGAGGTGGAATTCTTCATCTCCTCACACCTCTGGCCTGGACCATTGGTAACTTTTTCTAACTTGAGAGGTGGAGACAAGCTTTCTCTAGCACCTTCCCCCCTCCCCCCAGTGGACAGTGGACAAACTTATTTCCTCTCATCTGCCAGGTTTTAAAGCTTGACCTGCATTTCACAAAAGTCAGCTTGAGTTCATTTACAGTACGTTGCCTGATCTAATTTATTTTCTCCTGTATACTTGAAGTTAGGACAGCTATAATTTGAAATGGAAATTTATGCAAATACTATGTAAATTAGGTCATTCCCAGATTAACTGGGGGGGAAAAAATCTGGTCGCCTTAGCAGGCACCATCTGTTCCCTCCTTATTCTTTTCATATGCGAACCCCAGCCCCTTTTCCCAATCCACTTTGAAACTTGTTTTCCTGTGGCCGTGAAAAGAGGTATTTCAGGGGAAACAAATCACCCATCAATTTGCAGGCGGGTTGCTCTAATGTCCATTCCGTTGTGGGAAGAGGCTCAGGTGAGGGGCTGGGAAGAGGTGTAGGGTTAACTGCAGGCTCGTGGCTCTCTGAGCAAGCAGCTGGGGCTGGCTGTGCTGGCCTGGCATGCTCTGAGCTGAAGAAGCTGGGGGTCTCTGAGTGAGCTGTCACACCACACAGCTGCCACTCCCCCTCCCTCTGTCTGATTCCTCCCTTCCTCCTCTTTGCCTTTGCCTGAGCCCTCTCATGCACCCAGAAACTCGCCCACTCCCTATTTGGCAATTGGAGTAGAAAGGTTTGGGGGGGGTGCAATCTTGGGTCCAGGTATATGTTTGTTGGGGGACTCCAGTGCCCAGGCTAAGGTAGAGTACGTGAGGAAACGGCTGAAACCGGTAAGGGCTACAAGGACTACCAAAGACATAGTAAGACCAACCCCAACAGATCTATGGCTTAGAATCGGCAAGACTAGCTCGATCCAACATGGTGACTAAGTTCACCTTACAGTAGCCCCTAGCCTCTTCATAGGCTCATGGTAATACATTAGCGTACTAAACCACACATCCTGGACGGCCATGAGCGCACACAGAAAGGAAATGGAAAGGACACAAAATAGTCCACGGTGGTCTTCTGAGAACTCTCCACCCCTTCCCCAGAAGATCCTGCCCCCTTACTGAGTGCCCTCCCCCTCGATTCAATGAGCCTCAATAAAAGAAGGAAATCCCACTAGGGGGTGCTTCTCTGTCCTACTGCTTCACTAATAAACTCTTTTCACTTTAAACTCTATGCTGGTTCTCATTTGAATTATTTCCTGTGCAAAACCAAGAACCCACAGTAGCTCTCAGACCTTCAGGTCCCCTAGGACCCCTGCCCTGCCTACATCAAGGCCTCCCGTCCCTCCCCCAGGGCTGCAATGCAGCCCATTCCTGCTTTGGGGCAACGACAGCTTCAGTCCTGCTCTGGGAAGGTGCAGCCTAGCATCCCTGTAGCTGGAGAAAGTTTCTACTCCACAACCCTTAACCTCCCTTTCCTCCTAAAGGTTGTTCATGTAAGGGAAGCGGTGGGGGGTTCCTTCGCTCAGTCACTTTCTCCTTGAAAGGGGGAGAAGTAAGGAGTCTGCCCAGCAGTTCCTTAGTTCTTCCATCCTGCAATGAAGAGGCCTCCGGGAACAGAGCCACAGCTGACTCACAGCAAATAGGTAACTTCAGCATAAATACTCCTGTTGCTGTCAGCCACTGAATGTTGAGGTTGTTTGTTATTGCAGCAAAACATAATGAGAGATGACTAATATACCTTCTATAATCCTCATGAGCCTTTCCTCAAATTTCAGAAAATTCTTTAACATACTCATATGATATTTTCTCAGTGGGGACATTTTCTCATATGATATGCCAAATGAGAATAAAAGCATCTTTATAAAAACTTGTGGTTTTTTTTTTCTTGATTCATTATATGACAGTACAAACTGCACTCGCATAAATGGCTTCTTCAAAACCAGACCTTTAGGCAGTGGAAACAGTCAATGCAAAGGCCCTGAGGCAGCAATGTAAAGAGCCTTGTGTTGCTGGAAAGTGGTAGGCTTGTGTGTGGCCCCAGAAAATGTGCAATTTCAGAATAGAAGCACAAGGTGGCACCATGACATTCTTCACAGTCACCCCTGGCCACATGTGCTGGTGGTAAAGGAGGGGACATAGATCCCCCAAGCTCCCAAATAAAGGGCTCTATCAGGGAATCCCAGTCCAGCAGGCTCTAAGCCAGCGGTTTTCAACCTGTGGGTCGCGACCCCTTTGGGGGTCGAACAACCCTTTCACAGGGGTCGCCTAATACCATCGGAAAACACATATATAATTAGATATTGTTTTTGTGATTAATCACTATGCTTTAATTATGTTCAATTTGTAACAATGACATTGGGGGTTACCACAACATGAGGAACTGTATTAATGGGTCGCAGAATTAGGAAGGTTGAGAACCACTGCTCTAAGCAAATCATAAGCCATAGACTCTTAGAACTAGAAGAACACTGAGATCTCCCAATCAAGTTGATTGCCACGTGGGGTCTATGATGCCTATGGAAGGACTCCAGGATTCTGGGAATCCCCTGAATGGCAAAATGAATTTTTCAGGGGAACCTGCAGACCTTTCACTACAAGGGGTCTATGACCCCAAAATGGTAAAGAAGTTCTAACTCCAACCACTCCTCCATCCAAAGACAGACTTCATGAGAATTGCTCAGCAGCAGGCAGCCTGGGCCACATCCAGGTTGCCAGGTGCCTTGGAGACCTGGGTCCGTGAGCCCTATTCTTTCCGTGGAGGAGCCCGGGGAATGCCCTGACTCATCAGGCCTGAGGCCACTGGGGCGCCCTTCCAGAAACTAGAGCTTTTGTGATGGGCCTACAAACTCCCATGCACACTCTTCACTTTTTCTCGACTGAACGAACAGCAAACTTGCACATTGTTTTTTCAAAGGTGCCTAGATGCTCCTTTGATAAGTAAAATATCATGGTGCTTAATGTGGTTACTAAATTCACAGTCGCTTTGATCATTATATAGTCTCACCTCCTGGATGTTCTATGTAAGTCTAACACAGTGATTTGCAACCCTTTTCATTCCATGCCACACATAAACTAATTGCTAAAATTCTGCCGCATGCCAAAAAATATACTTTTTGCTGCTCTGACAAAAAAAGGTATAAATTTTGATTAATTCACACCGGATGGCTATTTTTGTGTTGGCTGTCATTATTTTTTAAATTTGATAATCTTAGAGAAAAGAGGTCTGTGCCCCTGACTACATAGTCAGGTGTTGCATGTTTTAAAAATTCTTGTGGCACACCAGTTGAAAATCACCGGTCTAACATATAATTAGTCAAATTTAAGCATAATATGTATTGAACTCCACATACGTTTATTGTAATGGGGGGTGTCTGCCCGATATCTTAAGCTAAATGGGAATCTTTATAATAAGAATGGTTGGAACTGTGGTGTGTGGTGAGAGGGGAGCGCACGGGGTGGAGAGGTCTGATAGCTGAGAGGGGACAGGAGCTGGACACACGGCGGAGGTCGTGTGGGCCGCTGGTGGAGCGTGACCGCAGAAGTGAGACTCACGCCCGTGGCCTGCTCAAGGGGATCACAGACAGAGACCGAGGCTGGCTCCTCCGGCAGGGAAGATGCAAATTTTAATTCGGCATCTTGTGTCTTACAAATGCCCCTGCTGCTGCTCTAGCTGTTACTGGTGTTTTAAGAACCCATCAAATACCATATTTAGCAGAGTCACTGCTGGAAGCCCAGCTTCCCCTCCTCCTTCCCTGAGAGGGGCTCCCAGAACCCCAGCATTGGCCTCAAGTGGTTAGCCCTGCAGGTGGGCGGTTCCCTGGGGACCCTTTCAAGCAGAAAGAAAAGGCTGAGGGCTAGGGCCCCTTTCAAGTCCTCCTCTCAGTTTTCCTTCACTTCACTGCCCAAGCATGTCTCCAGACCTCGTCTCAGGGGCCAGAGCTACTGAATATTTATCAAGGGCCCCGGGGAGACTGAGAACTGGAAAATCAGGCTCAGGTGGGTGTCTGTGAAACCGGCCTGGGTGCTGGCCAGACTTCCCAAGATTCACGTGGCCCAGCTTGCTCTGCTGGAACACGCCCTGCCCTGCCCTGCCCTGCCCCGCCGCCTTCCTCCGGAGGCAGGTGTGGACCTGGCCGCTGCCGGGGAGTTTGCTCCTTGTTGCTATTCTCTGCACCGGCTTCCACTGCCTGCCCAGAGCCAACTGTGGCTCCATTGTCTGCAGTGACCTGAGCTGACCAGCTGGCCTGCAGCCCTGCTCTGGAGGATGCCGGCTACCAAGCATCACAAAGCCCTGCTTTGTGGCCCTGACAGGAGGAGTTGTCATTAGCTGTGAGATGGTCCCTGGCAGATCCTGACATGTGGTGAGCAGACAGCTCTGTGCTGGTCCCAGTGTTTCGAGTCCCCAGATGGATGCAGTGCCCAATCCATCTGGGAGTGTTGCCTCCACTTCCACGAGCACCTTTTGTGCTGGCCCAGAGCAGGGGCAGGGTGGCACAGGAGCCATGGTTGGAGCCTGGTGCCCTCCGTGTTGCAGGTTGACGGCAATGACACCACTGAGGTTGTGCAGGGCCCTTACATGGTGGTCTTCCTGGTGGCATGATGTGCTCGGAGTCTGCCTTCCCTACCATGGGGCGCGGGTCCCTGAACAGTGGCAGTATCCTGTGGGCGCAACAGCTTAACAGAAGAAAACAGAAGTGAATATCTTGGGGTATGGAAGAATGTCTTCACAAAGACATACAATCACAAACCATAACATAAAAGAGTAATAATTTCAACTACATTAAATTTGAGAACCTGAGTACCTGAGTTCATCACAGATACTTTAAAGAAACTCAATAGATTAGCCACAAACTGAGAAGAGATCTATGTAACACACAAGTAGCAAAGGGTTAGAATCAAGACTATATCAAGAGTCTGGCTCTCCTGGCGGAGTGGAGGGGGTAGGAAACAGACAGACAGTTCAATAGAAAAACGAGGGCGGGGCGGCTTTTACAGAAGAGGAAATGCATGGGGCTAAGTGAACACAGGGAGACGCCAACCCTGACAGCATCCAAGACAATGCAAATCAAGACCACGACGAGATGTGGGTCCTCTCGTGCAGGCATCCTGGGCTCTCCAGCTTGGAGATCCCTCCTCAGAAGGTTTCCCTGGGAGGCCTGGCCCACTGGGCTCTGCAAAGCCTCTGGCTCGTTCTTCCCCGAAGTATCTTCCCACCCAGAGTCTGAGCGGGACCCCTACCGTTCCCTTCCTTTCCCCACCACTGGGATCCACAGGCAGATCCCACGCCCTGTTCTCCGCATCCTCCCTCGGCTCTTCTCCCAGGTCTCAGCCTGGCCAGCAGGGCTGCAAAGGCATCTTCAAACATAAAATCAGTCCATTCACCCCACAAGCCCCTGGGGGTCTCGGGGCAGACTATTTGTGACAAGGGAATATGCTGACAGCTAGCACCTCCGAGACCAAGTCCGGAAAAAAGAGAGTCTCCCCCTGCTTGCTCTTCTCCTTTGGAGACCCTTTCTGATCAGCCTTTAAGAACCTGAACAAGCAGCTAAAAGGAGACCCTGAAGTGGCTAAAGCCAGGCTTGGAAGGAGAAACACATACAGCTCAGCCTGTGGTGAACTTTTGCCTAATTATATGGCCAACAAATGATAAACCACTGAGCAGTGGGGTCAGGGTGCCACTTCCAAACCCGCACCCTTCAGAGTTGGTGAGACCGTGAGTCAGCTGTGGCTGCTCCGCTCTGAGAAATCTGCATCACAGCTCCTCTTCCCCCTCAGGGCCCACTCCATGTGTCCCGCCCAGGCCCCCTCCTTGCCACCCTTTACTGTGGTCTTTATACAGACAGCAGGCAGGGTAGCTTTTTGACAGGCAATGACCCCCTGCACAGTGCTGGTCACTGAGTTATTCCTGAGGAGATTTCCTTCTTTCTTTCTCAGTCCCTCTCTCCTTTTTTCTGTCTTTCTTTTACTCAACAAGCCAAGCCTTCATTATGCACCAGATAGTCCTCCTGGCACCGAGGACACATCAAAGACCAAAATAGCCACAGAACTCTGCCCTCGCGGAAATGATATTCTAAGTGGGAAACAGGACATAAAATAAAAAGTGAAACCTGTAACACGTGAAGAGCGACAGGCAGCCCTGAGAACTATTTGCATGCTGTGAAACACGGCTATTCACAGCAGAGAAAGCAGTTCACTTCCCTGACCGTTGAGTGGTAATGAACCTGCACGCGGCGATTTGTGTGCGCTATCTCATTTAAATTGCATCACAGTCCATGGGGCAAAACTATCATTATCGTCAGCTTCCAGATGAGGACAGCGGCACACAGGGCCTTTCCAAGATCACCCAGCTGCTAAGAAAGGGAATTTGGATTTGAGTCTAAACTGTGGGACTCTGATGACTTTGTTCTTAGGCCTCCCAGCTCTGCCCTGACCTCCTCAGCACCCACTCAGCAGCCTCCAGACTGCACCGCAGTGAGGCGGTCACCTCTGGATCTCACCACACTGAGGAGGAGGGTGTCGCCTCTGAACATGTGGGTGATAAAAGGAGTTTGCAGGTGGGTCTGAAATGACCACTGTGGTCCTGCAGAAGGACGCCCCTCACCTGTCCTGGATGCCACCATCTCACCTGGTTCTGGCAATGGCTGCCTGGTGGTGCCTTTTAGTCTATGTTGGATGTGTGGCTCAGGCCCAAGGATACACCAGCCTGAAACAGTACACATCAGAGGTGCTTCCTGTTGCTTCATGGCTCAGGACCCTAACACAGCAGGGACTAAGAGAGACTCCGGCTCTGTGGGGACAGCCTGAATTGCCTCGGGCAAGACTAAAGGCGGACCCAGACTCCAGAGAGGCCACCACCCTCACAGCCCTTGCATACTGTTTCCCCAAAGTAGGGTCTGTAGTATGAGGGGTACTCTCCATGTCCCTTTCCATCCCGTAGTGACAGGAAGCTGAACCCAGAAAAGAAACAGAGGGTGTGCCTGTGTGTGTGTGTACATGTGTGCCTACACGCGTGCATGTGCATGAGTTTTAGCAAAGCTCAATCCATGAGGCTGAACAATGACACTCCCTCCTTCCTGGCCTATAGTGGGGAGAGCAGCAAGTCTATGCTGGGGAAATGAATGACAGTCCTTTGGTCAGGGGCAGAAATAGAATGTGGGGACTAGCTACAATGATAAGAAACATTAATCATGCTCTGTTAACTGTGATTGTTCTGTTCTCATTAGAGAAAGCACATTCTAACCTGGCTGAGGGTTGCATGCCCCAGGATATGGAGCTAACATCGGAATGCAGTCCATCCTCCTTTCCCCGAGAACTGCCTACCCTTATGGAAAGAAAAACAATCTAGTCATGGAGGTGTCCGCCCTTTGCAACCCCCAGCCCACATTGCCTGTAACCTGTAGCCATTATACCTGGCCTACTTTCCAAGCCTGGACTTCTTAATTTCCCACATATTCTTTGTCCTTCTACCCAATATAAGCAGCTGGCTTATGGGGAGGGGCAGAGCAGATTTTTGGGGAAGACCGGCTGCTCTCCCACGCTGCTGGCAGTATTGGAATAACCGCTCATATATGCTTCAACCCTGTCTCTGCCTAATTGGCTCAAGTAATGACAGGCAGCCCAGACCCCTTGGTTGTCTGGTAACACTTTTAATAATAACCTGTATGACCTTGGGCAAGTTGCTCAACCTTTGACTGCCAAATGGGGCCAAGCACCCCTTTCCTGCCTGCCTCCCGGATTTGTGGTGAGGGTCACAGGAAATATGTTACCAAGAGTGCTTGGTAAACTGTATATGCGTATCCATCATTTTTATAGCAACTGAAATGAGGGGATCCCACCAGGAGGAATCACCATGAGGCTTGTTAAGATTTAGGGCAATCAGGGGTTAAAATTCCAGCTCATTCTGCTCACGGGCACAGGCCACAAGTATTGAAAACCCTCCATTCTGTTCCAGAAACATTATTTTAAGACTTGTCCTTCCCCTTCCTCCGCTGTGGCCGACAGGTGAGAAGCAGAGGCCATAGGAGGGAGAGGGCTACGAAGAGCAGATGGCATAAGAATTGCGTTTGGCGGCCCTCCCACAGGGCGGGGCGCATGCACACTGTGTTTCAACAGGGCCTTGCGGCATGCCGCACCCCCACCTGGGCAACAGCCACAGCTATCGCCTTTGCCCAAGTTAAGTGCTAGCCCAGCAGATGTGCCATCCGCTCTCCATGGTGACGGATAGAACCAATAAGGGCCCTGACCCTACAGGCTTGACCGGTTTCTCACCCTCTCTCTAGAGGGCAGCTGCTTGGAAAAAAAAGAACTCATTTATCGGGCCCCCTTCTGCTTGCCATATGTTACGTGGTTTCACCCACCCATCAGGTCTGTGAGGTATTAGCCACATTTTATATCCCAGAAAGCTGAGCCTGACAGAGGCAGAGGCATTCATCTCAGCTCTGCAGCTCCCACTGGAACCTGGATTGGTTGGCTCCCAAAGCGTGGGCTCTGACGGCTCATTACTACCCAGGCAGTGGGTCCTTCCTAAGCACCTGCTGGTGGTGGGACCGGTGGGGGTAGGAACCTTGAAGGAAGCAAGGTCCCCTCGAGGGAGTTGGGACAAACCTATGGACTACAGTGCAGGGACCCCAAGGGGCATTCACCCTCTGCTTATAACCTGGCCTCAAAGAGGGTCTGAGGGGACAGCTCTGAGGCTTGTGATGACCCTTGGCCTGGGAGGGGCGGAGGGGGGGTGGAGGGGAAAGACACAGCTTGAGACAGGTTAGTAAGCTAGGAATAGGAAAACTGAGAGAGATAGTTAAACAGCAATTTACAGCCAACTAGAAAACCTAGATGCCAAGCAGTTTGCAGCCACCTAGTAAATCCTACCTTCCCCAAACCAAGAACACTTAAGAGTAAATGGTTTGCACTTTTCCCCAACCAGAGGATAAATAGATTAAATCACCCTACTCAGGGAGACAGCAGAAATCCAATTAGTGCCATTTGCCAACCGCACCCAAAGACAGATGAAGTTAAGAGAATAAACCTTATTTTGGTACATTGGCATAAAACTGATTATTGTATTGCCATCCTCCCTAAAACCTCCCCTAAACATCCAGCCTTTAAAATCCCTCAAAATGAAGGTCCAGCATGTGCTCTCCATCCCAGGAGCCTTCTCCCCACTTCTTTCCCCACAAGCATGCATCTCCTAAACTCTAGGGACCCCACAAGGCTGACAACCAGGGCAGCAATGGGCAGGGGCAGTTCGTCCAGGCGACCCCCTTAAACCTGTCCTCAAGGTCCCCTTTTCTCTGACTTCTTAGTGAGCCAAAGAAGACCAACCAAGGCTCACTTCCCCAGCCTGTCCTTGTTTCAGTGCCCCCAGCTTTAATAAACGTCCTCTAAAATTCACCTGGACTTGTGTTGTGAAATTTTTCCTGCACAAAGTCAAGAACCCATCCACTACCAGCTGGCCCTAGGCAGACCCATTAGGGCCAGGTCCCCTTTGCAATAACAAGCTGTCAGAGCTAGGACTGCTGAGTCCCCCTCACTAAGCCCTCAGCAGATGAGAGGGTCCTCCTAGGTCCTGAGGATCATGGTCAATGGAGGTGAAGCCGGTTAGGAGTTCAGCCAGGACTTAGACTCCCAGCCCAGTGCTTGAAGGGGTGAGGTGGGCATGGCTGTGGCAGCCAAGGGTCCAGCCTGAGGGACAAAATCTGGTGGGCACTGATCGGAGCTTGAGGAGCCTACTGGGCTGGGTGAGCAGCTATTTCCACTTTCTCAGCAGCCTCAGTCCTGGGAACCAGGCCAGCATT